GCGGGGGGGGGGGGGGGGTCCGGGGGTTTCAAATGACTGGTGCATTACAACATCTGTCGATACAAACATGAATTAATTTAAAGGTTTTATTTTAGTTCATGATCAGTTATTATTTTTTTTCTTGCCCTCTGGTAAAATAAAAAAGGAAAAGCAAATTCAAAAATACTTTAAACTGACAAGGAAAGAACCATGTTTTCATAACTCACCTGCACCTAATACAGCAACACATTACACCGTCCAACAAGGTTCCTGAACAGTCTAGCATTTAACATTTTGCATACAGCTTTTAAAGGGTTACCGATAGTGAATAGGCCTTTCCTGATTGTACTCGTAAAATGCTGAAAAATTTCCACTGGAATGCCAAAAAGTTGCTACCGAAATTTCAAAAGTTGCCACTGAAATTTCTTGATATTTTTATATAGAGGTCAATTAAAAGTTTTATTTTTCGTTCTTCACAATAATTACTACCAACATCGGTCAAGAAAAAAGAATAAAACAAAAATAAAACAAAAAAATTTTAAAAATTTTAAAAATTGAAGTTCTCTATTGAAATCGTTGACTTTTGCGTGCTTGTTGTGTGCTCCAAACCTATATTTTGGTCAAAAGTTGCTCAGAAAGGCAAAATCTGCTCGAGGTTGCTAGAACCGCAAAAAGTTGCTCCAAACGCTAAAAGTTGCTCAAAAGTTGCCGAGCACAATCGGGAAAGGCCTAACAGAAGAATGTTAAATCATCCTGATCACGTCATGGATAATTGTTTCTTTGAGGCCCGTTATTATACTTAAATATTTAAAGTTAAAGTGAAAAATTAAGTGATGTTTGTCGCTTTTATTCAGAGCTTTGGATCAGACCTCTTTCCCCTTTTATTGACCGTGATAACCTGGGGTGGAGTCATGGCTCTTGGAGTACTTTCTGTGTTATGTTGGAGAAAGTTTAAGAACCTCAGTTTCATGGAACAGTTCCTTGACTACAGACAAGTTCCTACTGCTACAGAGGCCAATGAAAACACTGAGTCTATAAAGGAGAACGGACATGTTGAAAAAGTCAAGGAACCAAATGACAAGCGAATTCAACAGAAAGGTCTGCTGCTTATACTGTTTGTGTATAATTAGAGGCGCGATGTAAAGGTTGTCTGGTTTATTTTGTTATAATTATTATGGAACTTAACGTTATCAAAGAAATTACTTGTAAAAGATAAAATCACAGCTTCCTGTCCAACATATATACCTCTCAAGCATAGATCTAACTTCATACACAACAAATGAACTTTGAAAACCCGTTAACCTAACAAGTTTTCAAAATCCTCAATTGCATGCAATCCGTTTTAATCTTTCTCAAGTTTGTCCATCGGTGCCTCCTTTAGTATTTGTTGTGTTATCTATACTCCCTTTTAACGTTTTGAGCGGTTATTTTTATATTTCACCCGGATTTGGTGGTGGTTCCAAGCGTTTAAATCTTGATATCCCGAACTTTAAGTCCGTAAATGTGATCTTTGTTTTACGAACTATAGTGCGACCACCTCTAGTAAGCGACCATCGATATAAAACACCTACATTTTTCCTGTTAAAGCCCTGCAGTTGGAACCTGTCGTTGGCTCGTGCGGCGACCGCGTCCACTTTTTGGGACAATTGTAGCCTGCGTAGCAGGCGCTTAGAAGTTGTGGACACCAGAAAAAACGGGCGCGCGAGTAGGAGACACCCGTCGCGTGTGTCCCTCGCGCGCGCCCGTTCTCTCTTTCGCCAGCTACTTCCAAGCGCCTGCTACGCAGGCTAGGACAATTGTTTTGACACATGGTCTGATCTCTATGTTCGCTGTACGTACTATTGGAATTTCGACTAACCGTTACTGATAACATGGAACTACCCACATCAAAAATACAGTGTTAGTTCTGCTTCGAATCTGTACCTGTGAGTATAAATAATTTACAACAGGGCCATTACTCAAACTACATTTTTCTTCCCTTACTTTTCCCTTTTTAAATGTTTAACTTAAGATTGAAAAAAACAAAAAAAAAATTTAAACTATGCGATGAAACAACAACTTGAATTTGCACACATTTTTTTAAATTTAACTCTTTATGAAACAGGTGAGAACAATGTTTAGAGCCAGTTCACAAACAAAATGTTTCGGTTTCGTAGATTTAATTATTAAACCTTTTGTTTCCCTTTCTAGTAGGTGACGAAGAGAAAAAGAAGAAGATTCCTCCTAGACAATATCCGGTATCCAACCCACCTCCCTGGATCCCCAAACCGGAAGTAAGTGTAGTATCTGTTCAGCCTCAGGATTCTTCGATTAAGGACGATGACGAGGTTCCTTATTCCAGCTCAGACGAAGAAGAGATGGTCACGGTAAATAAATTTATGAATGTTAAAAACGCTTTAAAAACCGGNGTACTATTGGAATTTCGACTAACCGTTACTGATAACATGGAACTACCCACATCAAAAATACAGTGTTAGTTCTGCTTCGAATCTGTACCTGTGAGTATAAATAATTTACAACAGGGCCATTACTCAAACTACATTTTTCTTCCCTTACTTTTCCCTTTTTAAATGTTTAACTTAAGATTGAAAAAAACAAAAAAAAAATTTAAACTATGCGATGAAACAACAACTTGAATTTGCACACATTTTTTTAAATTTAACTCTTTATGAAACAGGTGAGAACAATGTTTAGAGCCAGTTCACAAACAAAATGTTTCGGTTTCGTAGATTTAATTATTAAACCTTTTGTTTCCCTTTCTAGTAGGTGACGAAGAGAAAAAGAAGAAGATTCCTCCTAGACAATATCCGGTATCCAACCCACCTCCCTGGATCCCCAAACCGGAAGTAAGTGTAGTATCTGTTCAGCCTCAGGATTCTTCGATTAAGGACGATGACGAGGTTCCTTATTCCAGCTCAGACGAAGAAGAGATGGTCACGGTAAATAAATTTATGAATGTTAAAAACGCTTTAAAAACCGGCAAATTATCCTCTTCCCGCCCCAAAGATTGGGCAACGCAGATTTTTTGGGCAGCAAGAGAAAATTTGGGCAAAGCCAGTTTTTAAAGACGTTTCCATGTTTTTTTATTTTTATTATTATTTTGAAGAGATAAATATTTCCTATTTTAACCAGAAGTCGGAGTAATAATTCAGTTACGTTCACACGAGACAGTAGTTGCCTAGCACGTGATGAGTTTCTGGTTATAAGGGAAGGGTATCATATGCTGATTTTTTTTATTGTTGGGCACTGTACTTCACTGGACTAGCTAGAATAGGCTATTTCCAGTCGTGAATTGATTATAGAATAAACTTCCGCATAACTTTCTAGAATCATCTCCGCTCCTAGAACAGTGTGTGGCGGAACACGCATCAGCAATGGGTCTGAAAGTGAAGAAGTGGCTGACTTCTCAGTTTGAATTACGAGAAGAATCATAATTTTTTTAAAAAAATCTATCGAGCGGTTTAAAAATTATTCATTGATTTGTTTAAGTAGACCGAAAAGTTTACAAAACCCCTAACAAGATCGAGCGCTTATCAAATCCTTCTTTATTGGCAGGAGCTATCTCCATGATCTTTCACACACGCTTTTAAAAATATTGAAACTACTATGAAGTGAAATTGCATGTTAAAAGCGTTTCGTTTTCTTCAGATTGCGACTAAAATCGATCATCCCAAAATATCTCGATAACGCTCTTACAGTTCCGTTTTAACTTCATGAACATCGAGGCGACTGTTGGAGGAAAGAACTCCCCTGAACGATTTTGTAAGAACAGTTCCCAGTGAGAAATATTGCTGCAAGTAGAATAAGGTAATGGCGTCATTTCGTTGCTATGACAGCTCCGATGTCATTGCAATCCTGATCATGACAAATTTCCCTCTTTATCTAATACAACTGTCGTGGCAATTTTTTCCAAATGTTTGTTTGTGGCGACGAAGTTTATGCTCAAACTTGGCAGGTATTGACTCTGAAAAACTGTATCGAGCCACTTTCATATGCCAGTACGGCCTATTTTGTTGCATAGCCCTAGTTTCCTTTCGACTGTTTTGTAAAAATTTGGGCAACTTGCAAGAATTTTTTGGGCAAATGGATTACCGCCCCCCTGGCAAAAACATTGCCCGTACGCCTATGCTTTCTATAACTTGTAACGTAAATTCAACTTGGGCTAAACGCCGTTTTTTCTAAGGCTATTCAAAAACCTATTATTTACTTATACGTTATTATAACTTAATCCAGGGAATATATTGCATCTATGATGACTAAAAGCTTGGTTAGCAATGGTGGCATCTATCGTAAAAAATGGCAAGAGGGAGCTTTCGACGCCTGTTACCCTTTCTTAAACAGTCGTTGCCATTTATAACGGTCGGTCGGTTAACCAAGCTTTTTCTAAGGAAACAATTTTAAACCTTGTTTAACTGGACTGCTTTTAAACGCGTTTAAACTTTGTGTAAATGGAGTGTATACTTGTCCTAACTAAATCACCAACTATTTTAACGTTTGTTTTTGTTCATAGTCCACAGTCCCTCGAGAAAATATAACGCCATACGACCTATCAGACTCAGGCCCCCCGGAGCGATTTACTCCACCGAGTGAAGCAGAATTCCTCGGTCGAGTATACTTTTCTCTTCAGTTTGATGNCCTGTTCAGAGTGGTGTCTTTCGGGACTTACAGATTTTCTGCAAAATTATCAAAAAGTTCGATATTTTGCTCATTTGTCAATAAAAGGCAGTGTAAACAGCTGGTGTAAAAGATACTTTATAATTATCTGTAGTTTCGATATGACGCGACCCTCAAAAACGACAATTTTCTGTCTTTAAATCGGGCTCTGGAGGAGACGAATTGGCCCGGACGTGATCGCGCCTGTGGACAGCGGAAATATATTATTTGCAAAAAAGAAAATCATTTTTATTACTTATATACCAAACCCTTTTAGTGTACAAAGTTTAAAGGGAAACTTTTTTCTGACGCGAAATCGATCGGACCGCTGTTAGCGGGACTGCCTCTTAAATGAAGTTTTTGAATTTGGCTTGCCTTATGAAGTTGTGAAGAAACAGAATTTGAGCTTCACCTTAATGTACATGGACAAATTTTCTCACCCCTTCCCTGTGGGGGAGTTGACGCATCATCTGGATCACCTGGAGATGGTAGGATCTGAAACTGTTCGAGAAGAAATGATCGTGTGTAGAGAAATGCAAAGACTTCAGCAGGTATGGCCAGATTAGCAGGGGATTATAATAATGCAAAGCAAGATAAAAAGTTTATTAAACATTTCTGATGGTGTACTTGGCCTGTACAGGCTCCAATTAAGTAGGAATCTTCAGGTGTCAGTGACGCCGATGGCCGAGAAAACGTCGCTTAAAAAGTAAATTCGCGTTTTTTCATTCTTCATTGCAATTATTCTATTCACTTACTTTTTCATATGCAAGCGAACGGTCCTTAGAAGCTGAATTGCAAGGAACGATGCCAAGGTTCAGAAAGGGAAAGAAAATTTCGTCAACGTCGCTTGTTTGCGTTCTCCATAAAAAGAGAAGTTAGGTAATAGGCCTGTCTCGTTTGTCACACTCAAGCGTTTTGCCGTCCTCTTCTTTATGCCGTCCTGTTGCGTAAACTATTTTCTCTTGACATTATAAATTTCGCGCAGGAGCCCATAACCCGAAGGGAACAACTCCCGTACTATGTCACGGCGTTTTTACAGGCCACGTAGTTTATTTTTAGACACATTTTAGGGCAATTTTTCCTGCGAAAAAATAATCACCAACATGTATATGTGAGCGCATTCGAAGAACAAGATATCAAAAAGGAAAAATAAACGTTATTAAAAGGTACAAAATATCATTTTTAGGTCTGTAGGTTTTGCTGACTGGTTTGTAATATTTACAAGATATTCAAAATTCGCGCCAAAACCGTTCTAAAAATGAACCGGTCAGTGAAAACGCCGTGACTCGACCGCATGGACGTTGCTCTCTCCGGGTGATGGGCACTTGCTTTGCCACGTTCCCACTGTCTGAGAGCCTTCACGAGCTAATGTGTATTGTACAGTCATTATTTTTAAAGGATCAAGGATCGTTTTCCCGAGTCAGAATTTTATTCTCCGAATGTGCATCCATAAACAAAACAAGAATCCACTAATTAACTATTGCAACAAAAAAATTAAACTCCAACAAACCTACACTGACACAAGAAGGCGATAAGAAAATTTAGTAGCTATCACATTTATTGCCGACACTTTAATATACGAAGATATACCTCTTTTATTCACTTTTCCTGACAGGCGTTGTTGTATTTAAGTTGGAAAAAAATGCTCTTTTCCAGGTAAAAGACCAGCCACGTGACCTTGGATTTGGTCAAGTGTTGTTCTCCCTCATGTTCATGCCGCTGACCAGACGACTGACGATCGTTATATTTAAAGCACAGCACTTGAGGCCTGTCAAGGAAGGCTTCCCAGGTCAGAGCAGTTTCGCAGTTTACGCTTGTTTGAAAATGATTCACCGTATTTCGTCCAGCTCTGTTAAGCCTCCTTTCGGTCCTGAAGCCGGTTTCGTCCTTATTTTTCCCGGGTATACACTGTGTTACTAATATAACCAGTTTAATGACCAGCTCCAAGTTGGCATGTTAGCCCACTGGTTAGAGTGCTGCACCGCGGTATCGCAGAGGTCAGGGTTCGAGTCTGGTGAAGCCTGAAAAATTTCAGGCTTTCTTTTCACAGCTGCATAAGTTGAGTCTTTGATGATTGCGATGATCTTCTTTGCATACTGAACTGTCATCATAATTTAATGCTTACAATTTTCTTTGCTCATTATGTGTCGACTGCTAAGAAAATGAGTATAAAGTGCAGCAATTTCACCAAGTAGTGCGGGTGTAAAACGCGTAAACTTTTAACTTCTACGTGCGAACAGATATGGCTTCTTTACTAGTTTAAAAAACTGTTTCGACACTTGAAAGTCAAGTACAATCTTCTCATCCTTATTGCATTCAATATGATGGGTGGGAGCTATAAATTTAACCATTAGCGCCTTTCAGACTTTTTCATGAGGGACGTGTAGCCTCACTAGAGGAAATACGTCATGCTTGTTGCTCACTTTCACAAAACAGATTACCAGCCAGTACATCGTTTCAATATTAGTTGACGTCAAAAATTTGTCAGTATGTCGATTAGCCTCGACAATAGTTGTCTAATATAAGACAGAATTTTGACAAATCGCTTTATTTGTTTCATTTCAGCTATCTACGTCGAGATTGTCATGATCAACGTCAAGAAAAGGCAGCGAAAACGAAAGCCAACGACATTAAGAACAGGGAGTCTGTTTCCAGTTTACAATGAAGCGCTTGCTTTTGATGTTGCTGACGCTAATTTAGAGGATATCCGTTTACAAGTTTTTGTGAAACAGGAGATGGAAAGTTCACCTGACCAAGTCATAGGCCGTGTTGTCCTGGGGACAAATGCAGAGGGACTAGAACTACAACACTGGAAAGAGGCTATGACGTCGAAGAAACCTATTGCGCAATGGCACAGTTTGCGAGAATATCATCCCGCTGACCAAACAATTCACGGCGTCATATCACCAACGCATAAATCTGTGATATCTAAGCGAAAAATTGCGAGATTCTTCGCCACGTCTTCAGAAGATGAAGGTTAAAGTCTTCGAAGAGCAACATGAAGACAGAGTTATATATAATTGCTTGACGAACTCAGGGTTTTTTTAATTTACAGTTCTCGATAAGTTTATTAGCTCTCTGATAAATTCAGTTTTTCAAGAGTTTGCTACGATACTTGTGAGAAAGTGATAACTACGAGAATATAACTCGTTGAATTTTATTAAGAATTTATTTTTCCTTTTCCCACGGAAAATCGTATTGCACGAAATCCATTTATATTTTTGTATGCCGAATCAAACTTTGCTTCCCCTCATCATTTACCCAAAGAAGTATTAATAGTGGGAAGCCGCTAGTGAGCCCAAATAACACCCAAATATTTGAGACAGAAAATACAAGCTTTCCAATAGGCTTCCTGGCAAGAGGTAAACAAGTTGGCTATCTAAAGGCGTGGCCCAAGGAGCTGAACTTGGGGAAACAGTTCCTCTACGTGGCCAGAGTTCTCCAGGGTGTGCTGACTAAATGGGCAAAATTCCTCCACTATGGCTCTGAAACTAGTGACCAGATGAAATAGATGGACAAGGTTCATGTTTCCTCTTCATTAGAGAAGACGCTGAAACAGAATCTTTAATTGCGATTCGTTTATGAACCAATCTGCTATCATTTTCTCTTGGATCAGATCAACAGACCTCCTATGATTATTCTTTTTAAAATGGGGGCCTTTTTCTTTGATGTGTTAACATTTTCAGTGGACTCCCTGGCTTTAAAATTCTCCTGGATCTTCCCGCCCCTCCCCCCCCAAAAAAAAAAAATCCAATTATTTGGCTCTCATTTTGGACCCTGTGGCATCCATGCCTAATGAATTATATTGGCTCCACGATGAGACGCTTTGTTAGATTAAAGCAATGACTATAATATTTCTCTTAATTTATGGCTGTCCGAACCTCTTATATCAGGTTCTAATATTTATTTCTTTCCTTATTTAGCTTAAGTTTGTTTACCTCAAGCATCGGGACTTTATAGGAGGGTTAGAATGTTGGTTCAGAAGGAAAACATCCCATCTTCTTATTCCTCCAATTTTTTTTTTATTAAAACATTAGATTATAAACAACTGTTGGATGAGGTTTTTGTGATATCAAGGTCGAGGAAAGTGTTATCAGCCGAGCCGAAGGACGAGGCTGATAACACTTACCTCGACCTTAATTATTTAGGATATCACAGAAACCGAATCTAATAATTGTTATATTAAACATTGTTTTGAAGAAAACAACGACAAAGACACCGTCGCAAGGAACCTGAATTGATACTGTTATTGGATATCACGCATTGTGCCCGCAACCTGAGGGTTAGTCGGTTATCTGCCAGCAGATACCTAACAAATCTGCAGGTTGCGCTTATTTTCAAAATTAGCTGTAGGCTCTTAGCCAATGAGAAGACAGATAGTGAGTACAATGTATGATGACATTTTTTATTAAGAGCATTTCCCCTTATGTGCTTTTTCCAATGACTTAACTTAGTTTAACAATCTGAATTTATTATTCACTGCTTTTTGAAGATCCGGAAGCCAGTGTAAGTACTCTCCCTTGCAAAGGACATCTTGCTGGAACTGCTACAGTTACGAGGACGATAGTAGCTGTTATACATCATGAGCCAGGTAATCGAGATGTAGTATAGATATTTGAGGCACACTACTTTTTTTTCCAACATTTCAGATGACAGAATTGACGATATGATAAGAGACTACATGTCACGCCATGGTTCTACTATCGGTGAGCCACTCATGTCAGGCTACTTCAGTTTTCTTAGTTTGCATGTGCAGAGAAGTCGAATTAAAGCGGCAATAAACAGGGTGACTCCTCGTAATACTGGCCTAAGGTGGGGGGCATTGGTATCGAGAAAGGAAATACTATGTACCCTGGCCAAATTCACTTTGGGATATAAATGGCCATCATTCAATTATAAGATGGAGGTTCGTGGTCCATGGCTGTTGTGATGGCAAATCTAGAAGAATTATGTTTTTAAAGTGCAGTACAAATAATTTGGCAGAGACAGTCTTGGAACTTTTTAAGGGTGCTATCAAGAACAATCGAGGCCTATGGCCATCACGTATTGCGTAGATCGTGGTGTTGAAACTGTTTTGATTTGAGTGATGAAACGGTTACCCACTGGGAGAAGGGACGGCACAGTTTTATCGCAGGCTCATCCCCAAGTAATCAGCGTATAGAAAGACTGTGGAGGGATGTTTTTTGATGTGTTTGTCATTTTTTTATTTCACTTTTTTTTCTATGGAACAATAAGGCATTCCGGGTGTTGAGAACCCATCCCCATCTTTTCCTTACATTTATTCTTTACACCAAGAATCAATTGTTGGTTTTCACATGACTTCACTTAAAAACCGGAGATGACTAGCCTTCCTTCTTTACATTGGTTCAAATGCGAGGCCAATTTAGCCTTAGATCAGTAGGTTTAGCTTTCGACACATTAATACTGGTTTGTATAATGACTTGATTAATAGTAAGACTCCTTGAAGGTAAGCACAGTGTTCGATTTTTTCCTTTAATTTATTTATTTCTACTTCGAGCATATCCGCGCCAAAACCTCCTAAATGCCCGCCAAATTTAATGTGGCGCTCCCGATCGTACAGCTCGTGTTTAGGAAGAAACAGGCCCAGCACAACTTCCACTGGAGGCAATTTTGTGTTACGAAAAGCACTCTAATAAAGCAGTAGAAAAGCTTTATTAATTTCGTGCGACATTTTCTTGATAAACAAGGGAATGTGTTGAAAATTATAGACGTCCGTGTTTTATGATACACATACACACGTGGCGGCCAAATTGCTATATCTCTGATCTTTTTTCAACTGTTTTGCTTGTTGCCGATGTTTAAATGCTTCATCATGATCCAGTGCGATTTATAGTTGTCACTTCATTCTCAGATCTTTGTTTCAATTAATGAGAAAATTATCTTACAGTTAAAACACTCCAATTATTGCGTAATATTGCGTTGTTACATGCGCTCTCAACACAGCCGGACGGAGCAGCTGACGGAGCTCTGCCTATGAAAATGATCGTTTTCCTAGTATCGAATAGGCGAAAATGACTCCCACTGGTAGCAAATTGTGCTACAAAGCCATAAATAAGGGTTATTCCAAGTATAAACCTCATAAAACCTTTTTATTTTGATGAAAAATGAAATAAAACGCGTTAAAAATATCAGAGGCTCGTGTTACCCATACCCCTACCGACCTACCTATTGTACTTCACAGAGAGGGGATTGATTGTTAAGTTTGCTCGTTATTTGTAATTCCCTAACTAAAGTAGCTTTCTTTTTCTTTTAAAATTTTTACGGGGGAATCGAAATGAGTTTTGGTTGATTGGTTGTGTCCATCGCTGTTCACTCCTATTTGTGTTTTTAATAAAATACGACTGCGCGAACGGTCTCTATTATTTTTCACGAGCAGAGAACTTTGATATAATTCACCGAAAACAAATTCATGAACATGGTTCAGGGTATTCTGTATGTGCTTTTATGTTGGGTGTCTCGCCTGAGCGGGTGAGTCGCCTTCGCTTAGTGCAAGAAGACTTTGTAAAACGCGTATATTAAATGAATCTTTCTGTAAAAAAACGAGGCCTTAGGAAAGTTTATAAGGTAAAATAGTCTTGGAAAACGGTTTGCCAAATAAATTTTTCTTTTGGTGGGGACCTGCTAAGATTGTATTTCAACTAGACGCTTAGAATTCGTAATTGAACTTATTCTTTGGGTGATTCAAAACAAAGCTAAACAACGACCAAAGTTCCGTCTGCACGTGCTCTTCTTCGGGTGTGTCGCCTTCGCTTAGTGCAAGGGAACTTGGTTGGTTATGGCTCGTGAAAAATAATAGAGACCGTTCGTGCAAAGGTATTTTATTAAAAAACAAATAGGGGGGAACCGCGACGGACGCAACCAATCAACCAAAATTCATTTTGATTCCCCCGTAAAAATTTTTTGAAAGAACAAGAAAGCTACTTAGATTTAGAAATAGAAATGTCGGGGGAGCAGAATTTAAAGCGACACTATTGCCTTTTTTGAGAAAAGGCCGGTGAAGTCTCCTATTTGAATTCTGCTCCCCAGAGAAAGCTACTGTTTTAGTTGTGTTCGTCTCATCAGCTTTTTAGTAGTGTCTGCTAAAATGAGCGGTTGAAAGATATGTCGGATAAAGCTTCACAGGAGGCCACGAAAGGAGATTCGCATTTCTGCTCAAGTATGGTTTCAAGCTGTCAACGGTCTATGCTTGGCTGAATTTAAACAATGGCCTTCTGGTCAGATGGGGAACAAATTTTCCCCCATATTTCGGTCGCTAAGGCTTGCGGCTCGCCATGTCGCCTTGCCCATAATGCACCTTGTTTGTCTCCCCGCCACCCACCGCAAATTTTGCATAATCATGTTTTCAGTATCTCCTGGGTATCACAGTCGTCCCAAAACTGAAGAGAAACTGGCAAATAAGAGAGTGGGGTATTATTGTCGCTAATAAAGGAATTCTTAGATTTTGCATCAAAGAAATAGAAGATACCCAGTGAAAGAATAAGCATATTCATTTCACTCACAGTTAGGATATTTCATCAAAGTGTAAGTGAATGTAAGGTAACGAATTCAACTAATATTTAACCTTTTTAACTTTGATGCTACTTGATTATTGTCACACTTGATGATATTTTAGTTCTATTATGAGATGCGCTCAAAGCAATACACATTAATTTCCACGCAACTATAGTTTGTTTTTACCTCACAATTTACATTGGTTTTTAATACTGAGAGAAAGTTGATAATAGTCATTTAAGAAGCTTTTCAGGTAACATAAAAACGGTTTTACAATCTATATCGTAAAGGAAAACACTTAATCAGTGAAAATATTTTTTGGAAGCAAAACGACTTTGCAAATGATTGCACATGCCTTAGCGCGCGCAGATGACAAAACTCATGTCATTCCTCTAAAACACATGTATCTGTTAGCAAATTGAACGTTTGCATGATCAGTTTTCAAAACAATGGGAAATGGCTGATTGCA